AAATAAATATCCATGAGTCAATGCTGATATAAATAAATAGTTGAACAAGTAAACAGTGGGGGGAAGAGGCCAGGCGCAGTGGCTCAAGCCTGTAATCCCAGCACTTTGGGAGGCCAACGTGGGCGGATCACGAGGTCAGGAGATTGAGACCATCCTGGCTAACATGGTGAAACCCCATCTCTACTAAAAATACAAAAAACTAGCCGGGCGTGGTGGCGGGCACCTGTAGTTTCAGCTACACGGGAGGCTGAGGCAGGAGAATGGCGTGAACCCGGGAGGCGCAGCTTGCAGTGAGCTGAGATCGCTCCACTGCACTCCAGCCTGGGCAACAGAGCAAGACTCTGTCTCAAAAATAAATAAATAAATAAATAAAATAAATGGGGGGAGGAGACAAATTTCCATGCAGAGTTCAAAATAATGTCACAGGCCTCCTCTCTCACGGAGGGGGAGCACAGCAGAGCCCCCAACCCCCACCTGGCTGTTCAGGGGACTTCCTTCCAAACACGGCAGCACTGAGGCCGACACGGAGGCGCCGCACGGTGAGGAACCAGCTATGCCTGAGCCGGCGGTGAATCAGGTTGACGACTCCCGACCCCACGCGACTCCACGCGGCCCCACGACAGGGGCAGGAAGGCACTTCACCTCTGTGCTCTTCCTCCCAAAACCCACAACCACCTCAGGCTAAGCATGAGAGAAACGTCAGACAAATCCCCACTGATGGGCACTCCACAAAATCGCTGACCAACCCTCCTCACAACGGTCAAGGTCATCGAAAGCAAGGGAAGCCAGAGAATTGTCGCAGCCAAGAGGAGCCGGAGGAGACAGGAGGAGCCGGGGCGAGGCCCTGGGACAGGAACGGGAGGTTAGGGGAGTAAGGAAATCCAAGTAAGCTCTGGGCTTTAGTTACCATAACGAATCGTGCTGGCTCATTCATTATGGCCAATGAGCCTTTTCCTGAGGACGAATGGGAAGTGGGCCCGGGGCACGCAGATGGCACTTTTATACTATCTTCGAAACTTTTCCATAAATCTAAACCTGTTCTAAAATAATAAGTGTGTTTTAAAGAAAGAAAAGACACAGAAATGCTTCCAGGCCCAGCAGCCCTGTGGAGACCGCTCAGGCTCCCGTGACAGCCACCCTTTGAGACGTCCCTGTCTCCACATCCGGCCGCAGGTCCCGTGCTCGCTCGGCAGATCAGATGGGGACCGTCTCCTGGCCCAGCCTGGACTGGCCCTTCCTAACCGTCCTGGCCACCCTAGCCTGATGACCCAGCTGATTAGGGGCCCTAGGCAGTGCCCGGTACTTTCCTGCCCCCCTTCCCCAGATCCAAATCACAGGCCAGGCTGGAGGGTCCAGCTGATACCCTCTAGGTCAGGGATCTCCTCTTTGATGTGGGGAAACTGAGGCATGGGGGGAGAGTTGCCTGACCACCCACCAGGAGACGGTGACCAGAAACCTGTACGCACACGATGTCCCAGAGGCCCACCCTCTGGTCCGGCCTTTCGTTCAGGGCAGTGCACCCACCAGGGGCGGCCAGCCCCTCTCTCCACCCGGTGCCCCACCAGGGGCTGGCTCTGCCTGGTAGAGGCTCTCTGGACATCACCAGGGCGCCTCCGAGGTCTCCTGATCCTTCTCATTTGGGGTCCTGCTCTAGGAGAGGGACCTGCAGTGCCATGAAGAAGTGACCCCAGTGCCCGGGCTCCACCACACGCTGGCAGGACAGGACCCAGAACACAGCTCTGTGCCCGCTGACCAGGGCTGGACAGCACGGCGGTCTGGCACAGGGTCCTTCCCCCTGCTTCCCGAGGCCCCAGCTAGGAACCTCCACAGAGGCCAGGAAGCCCCGCTGGCCCTCGCTTGCTCACTCCACATTCCGAGGCAGAATCTCCGCGAGGTCGAAGGGCACCGTCTTAGGGCCCTCGACGGACACCCCGGCCACAGCATCCCCTCCAAACCCCCAGGACACCAGCGCCCTGCGATGCCGGCTCCCGCGTCTCAGAAACCCCCGTAAACTGGAGTCACCAAATGATCGCCGGGTTTATTTTGCATTTTCATTCTGAACTGGATGGAACCTTCTTGAGCACAGAGGATCCTTTCCACTGTTTTCCTGAATTGTGGGTTCTGGCATCGTTTCTATGTGTTGCTGGTTGGGCATGACTAGAGTTCAACTTTTTGCTGCTGGACGGCAGAGGTAGGATGTGGTGCTTCCCGAGAGGCTCCGGGGCAGGCCCCACAGGTCCATCCACCTCCCCTGGGACCCAGCTCTGCAGCACCCCAGGTGAGGGGCCGGGGATGGGGCAGAGTGCCCAGGACTTGCCCTGATGGGCCCAGTGTTAGCCAATCAAAGCACTCACATCCCCACGGTGCTGACTGGTCCGCATCCCAGGCCTGACCCTATCGGAGTGTTCCTAGGAGGAGGGACCAGAGCCCCTGACGCGGGGGTGCCAGAGCCCTCTGCACACCCCAGCCCTGGTGTCTCGTGTGTCCCAGGTTCCCCCAGCCCTGGCGTCCCGTGTGTCCCTGGGTTCCCCCAGCCCTGGTGTCCCATGTGTCCCTGGGTTCCCCCAGCCCTGGTGTCCCGTGTGTCCCTGGGTTCTCCCAGCCACAGCCCCGTGTGTCCCCGGGTTCTCCCAGTCCTGGCGTCCCGTGTGTCCCTGGGTTCCCCCAGCCACAGTCCCGTGTGTCCCCGGGTTCCCCCAGCCCTGGCGTCCCGTGTGTCCCTGGGTTCTCCCAGCCACAGTCCCGTGTGTCCCTGGGTTCTCCCAGCCCTGGCGTCCCTTGTGTCCCCTGAGTCTCTTCTTCACTGTCAACCCTGGTGTCTCCCGTGTTCCTGCCTCACCCTCTTTCCTGGTGTCCCCCATCACCCCATCCCCTCACTTCCTGGGCTCCTGAGGTTCCCATCTTGTGGTCCTCGTTCATGGAACCAAGACGGGGCAGGTGTAGGCCTGTGGGGAGTCTGTCCAGAGAATGGATGAGGAGCAGGGTCGTGAGCAGGAGCGGTCTGGGCCACCCCTGCCTTTTCCCTGGGGATGCTGCCTGGAAGGAGTTCAGGTGGATATGGCCTCGGTGTGCAGAGTCAGCCCCAAACCAGGCTGGTCCCAGGCAGGGTGGGGGCAGGGGGAGCCCTGGAGTGGCTGTTGGGGGTCGACCCCTTGTGTTGGCAGTCGGGGGACAGGCAGGGGGTTCTGGGGCTCAGAAGGGGAGGAGGTGGGCTGGAGGCCTCAGTGACCAGCAGGTCCAGGGGAGTCGGGAGGTGGGGTGGACGGACCTGCAGGGACAGTGTCAGTGCTGGATGGACGGAGAGCACAGGGAGCTGGGACTGGGGGTGAGACCATGGGGAGCTGGGTTGGGGCTGGGGTGAGTCCGTGGGGAGCTGGGCTGGGTCTCCTGAGGTCACACCCGCACTCTCGTCTGCTCCTCCCTCTGCGGATGAAACTCAGATTCCACGATAACGAGGCACCTGCAGACCAGGGGACCTGCACAGACAGCCCCAGATGTGGACATTGAGGACTCGTAGGAGGACTTGAGTCTCATACGGGGAGTGGGAGTGATGGAACAGGAGCACCCTCATCTCGGACAAACACTGCCACTTTCAGTTCCAGCTCCCTTTCCAGCCTCCTGCATTTCAAGGACATCACTTCTCTTCTAACTACAAGCAGCCAAAAAGCAGATAAGGCAGGCTGAGCACAGAGGGAGGTGGAGGGAAAGTCTTTTGGGTAACTGCCAAACTTCGCCCTCATACAACGGGCCCCAGTAAAACAGTGGGCCTTACTAACACCTTCCTTTCCCTTCAGGTGCACCAACACAGGGAAGCTCAAGGCAGACGGGGTACGCCGTATCCCTGCAGCTGCAGGAAGATGTATGGGAACAGACACACAACTATCCCTCCCAGAGAAGCGCAGCGAAGAGTCACAGAAGCACTGCAAGTCTCTGATAAGCTCTCCTGCCCTCAATCCTTGAAATGCTTAGTCTCAGGCCGGGCGCGGGGGCTCAAGCCTGTAATCCCAGCACTTTGGGAGGCCGAGATGGGCGGATCACGAGGTCAGGAGATCGAGACCATCCTGGCTAACACGGTGAAACCCCGTCTCTACTAAAAAATACAAAAAAACTAGCTGGGCGAGGTGGCAGGCGCCTGTAGTCCCAGCTACTCGGGAGACTGAGGCAGGAGAATGGCGTGAACCCGGGAGGCAGAGCTTGCAGTGAGCCGAGATCCGGCCACGGCACTCCAGCCTGGGCGACAGAGCAAGACTCCGTCTCAAAAAAAACAAAACAAAACAAAACAAAACAAAAAAAACTCTTAGTCTCTGAGAGCGTGTGGCTCTGACCTGACTCAGCCAGCCGTCCCTCTCCGGTTTGCTTAAAATAAACCTGTCCCTGTTGACTGTGAGGCCGCCCTTCGTGTTTCTCTCCTCTTTCTTTAATTCTTACAGGGAGCAGGGCCCCTTCCTGGCTGAGGACACTCCGTGCTGTCCCCTCTCAAGGCTGTTTTCTCATCTGACAAGGGGATCTCTTGTGAGCCCCCCACCAAGTGAGTCGGGGAGGGCTGGCCCCACCCCCGTGGATTCGGAGTCCGTAGGAGAGGTGACACCTGTCATGTCCCCACCTTGTGGGCACCTTCCTGTCTCTCGGAGGGTGGCCCGTGGTCATGAGTTCCCCATCCCGTGTCCCTCTTGGGGAAACAGGTTACAGGGCAACTGGTCTTGTAGCATGGGGCAGCCAGGCCGCCTGGGTGCAGCTGTGCCTGAAGGCCTCCTGGCACCGGGACAGGGCAGCTGATCCCACCAGCGGGAAGGTGGTGCGTTCCGGTGCTGGGATCCACCAGCTGACAGGCGGAGCTGTGAGCCTCCAGTGCTCAGCCCTCGGCAGGGCCTGCCTGGCAGCCCCACACACAGAGGGCATCAGGGTGGCGGGGGCACGTGTTACATGGGGGACCGGGGTCTGAGTCACCCACTTCCTCCGTATCTGGATGGGAGGGCGCAGCGCCCCTCCTCCACGCCGTCCTGATCTGGAAGGATAAATGGGGAGGGGAAAGCCTGCTGGGTAGAAGGAACAGCGAGCGGCCAGGGTAAGTCCCCACTCTCAGAGACCCTGACATCAGCGCCACCTGGAGCAGAGTGGCCCAGCCTCACACTCAGAGCACCAAGACCCAGGCCCCCCGTCCCAGCTCCATTCTTCACCCCATAATCTGCAGCCCCCAGCCCTGCCCCGTGAGCCCCGGCCAGGCCCACGATGCCCCTCCTTGCTCCCCAGATGCTGAGCCTGCTGCTGCTGGCGCTGCCCGTCCTGGTGAGCCCGGCCCACGCGGCCCCTGGTGAGTCCCAGCCGGGGTCCACCCTGCCCCTCACCACATTCCACAGGCCAGGGCCTGGGTGGGTTCTGGGGAGGCTGGGCTGGCCCCCACACAGGGAAGGGCTGGGCCCAGGCGTGGGGCTGCTTCCTGGTCCTGAACTGGCTCCTGCCCCAGCCCCAGGCCAGGCCCTGCAGCGAGCGGGCATCGTCGGGGGGAAGGAGGCCCCCAGGAGCAAGTGGCCCTGGCAGGTGAGCCTGAGACTCCACGGCCAGTACTGGATGCACTTCTGTGGGGGCTCCCTCATCCACCCCCAGTGGGTGCTGACCGCAGCACACTGCGTGGGACCGTGAGTCTCCCGGGGCCTGGTGGGGTGGGCGAGGGCCGGATGTGTGCCCTGGCTCCCGGGTGCTCCTGGAGGCTGCCCAGGGCCCTGAATAGGAGCCTCCGCTGGCCAGGGACGTCAAGGATCTGGCCGACCTCAGGGTGCAGCTGCGGGAGCAGCACCTCTACTACCAGGACCAGCTGCTGCCGGTCAGCAGGATCATCATGCACCCGCAGTTCTACACTGTCCAGACCGGGGCGGACATTGCCCTGCTGGAGCTGGAGGAGCCCGTGAATGTCTCCAGCCACGTCCACACGGTCACCCTGCCCCCTGCCTCGGAGACTTTCCCCCCGGGGACACCGTGCTGGGTCACCGGCTGGGGCGACGTGGACAATGATGGTGGGTCCAGGACAGCGGGAGGCTGGGCCAGGTGGGCACCAGGTCACAGTCACGGGCCAGCCCCTGGGGTGATGGGGTCCCTCAGGGCGGCTCAGGGAGGGGGATTCTGAAGGCCAGGATGAATGGAGGGGGCAGTGGCGAGAGGCAGCCGGTGCCCTGAGCAGAGACGGTGAGTCCAACAGGCCTGGGCGCCCCCCAATCCCAGGGCTTGGGCAAGTCCCTTAGCACCTCCGTGCCTCGGTTTCCCCTAGCCTGAAAGGGTGCATCGAAAGTTCGTACGTCGCGGACTTGCTACGTGGAGAGGGAAATCACAAGGGGGTCTTGCTGGAAGGAGAGAGACGGGTGCTGGGATGAGACCGGCCTGCCCTCCCTCCCTGTGCCACGGTCAGCTCAGGGGCCTGGGACTTGAGGTCGTGGCAGGTGATGTGGGGGGCTGGACAAAGCTCACTCTGAGCCTCCATGAGGCACATTTTCACTTCTAGTAGGTCTTGTCCCCTTTTTATCCACAATTCAGAGCAAAGCTTTGGGGCCTGAGCAGCGGCCCTGGGCTGTGACCTCGGGGTCACTCAGATGGCGGGGAGCCACAGTCCTGCTCTGTTGGGGGCCGCACCGGGGGTGGTGGAGAATGAAAGAACACACACAAAGACAAAGACACACAGAGAACATGGCGGCCGCACTCAGAGCCTTCGCCTCACTTTATTTATACTCCATAAATTTCACGTCAGCAGAAAGAATGTAATGCAAAACAAACTTTCTTTTCCCACATGTAACCGTCTACTCAGTACCTTGTTTCTATATTCTTAGTTATCTACCCGCCTTCTTGGCGCCTACGGGAGTTCATTAAAAGTTCAGTTGGAGCTACTGTCCTTGAGCCCTATCTATTCTCAGCATACTGTTTTCAAAGGCCCCTGCACTGCTCTTCCACCCCACACAGAGGAGAAGCTGAGCCCAGGGCCCTGTGTTCCCCTCCACTGTGGGTCTGACCGTGGACCGTGGGCCCAGCCCAGACCAAAGTCAGCTGAGCCCAGGGGGAGACAGGGGCCCAGGCCCTGCACTCCTGTGCCATGGAGCCCAGCCTGGCAACCTCCAGGGCCCTCCCCTCCCTTCCCCAGATGGGGCTTGAATGAGGCTGGGACCCAGGACCAGCCTCAGGGGAGGGGCCCGGCCCGCACTCACCGCCCTTCCTGGGGGCCGCAGGCACAGAACAGTGCTGGCCACTTGGCGCTGTCTCCCCCGGCCCATGACTCGGCCGCCAAGTCCACGCCGCAGCAGTCATCCGGCCCCAGGCCCGGCTCCACCTCCCGCTCTGCCCACAGTGCGCCTGCCGCCGCCGTACCCACTGAAGGAGGTGGAAGTCCCCATAGTGGAAAACCACCTTTGCGATGCGGAGTATCACACCGGCCTCCACACGGGAGACAGCTTTCGAATCGTCCGCGACGACATGCTGTGTGCAGGGAGCGAAAAGCACGACTCCTGCCAGGTGGGTCCTCGTGTCCCTCACCCCGATCCCCGGAGCCTGGCCGGCGAGCGCTGACCCCTGCCCTTCACAGGGCGACTCCGGAGGGCCCCTGGTCTGCAAGGTGAATGGCACCTGGCTGCAGGCGGGCGTGGTCAGCTGGGGCGAGGGCTGTGCCCTGCCCAACCGGCCTGGAATCTACACCCGTGTCACCTACTACTTGGACTGGATCCACCGCTACGTCCCCGAGAAGCCCTGAGCCAGGCCTGTGTCACCTGGGTCAGCGGAGGGCCAGCCCCTCCTGCCCAAAACACCCGCCTCCTGCTTCCGACCCAGGTGGTGACTGCCCCCAACCTTCCCCATCCTGAGCCCCGCCCGCATCCGACCCCCTCCCTCCCTAAGCCCCTCCCCATCCTGAGCCCTCCCTCCCTAAGCCCCGCCGCATCCTGGGCCCCTCCTCTCCCTAAGCCCCTCCCCATCCTGAGCCCCCTCCTCCCTAAGCCCTCCCCATCCTGAGCCCCTCCCCCCATCACAGGCCCACCCCAGGCCCACCGCCCTCAGCCCTCCCCACACGCAGGTAGCAGGTGGTGGACGCCCCCCTCCCCTAAGCCCCTCCCCCATCCTGAGCCCCCTCCTCCCCTAAGCCCCTCCCCCATCCTGAGCCCCTCCCCCATCCTGAGCCCACCCCAGGCCCCCCTGTCCCTCCAGCCCTCCCCCGCCCAGGTAGCAGGTGGTGGACGCCAATCCTCCCGAGTGCTGCCTCCCATTAAAGTGCATGATGAAAAGCAGGTGTGGCCGTCACTGAGTTTCTGGCCGTGGGTGTCACGTGGGAGGAAGGGTCCAGGCGTGGCCTGGGGCAGCTTCGGGAGCTGCAGGGTCCTGGTTCCCAAGGCACTGTGGAGCGGGGCCTCCTCAGCAGCCCTGGTCGGTGAGTCGGGGCGCTGGTGGCTCCCGGTTTGGAGGAGGAGCAATTAATTTCAGTCTCCTTGCGGCAGAGGGAGGCGATTTCTCCCTCGAACACGGAAGCCTGCCGCGGCCACACTGAGGGTGTAAGTCCTCGGCTTCCCGTCTGGGTCTTGGTGTCCTGTGAGTTGCACAGATCAGGGGCTGCAAGGGAGGGACTCTGAACGCTGCGAGGGCAGAGCAGGGTCCAGTGGGGTCCGGCTGGGCAGGGACGTGGCTCGGAGGACTTGGGAATGGCACTTATCACTGCCCCCTGCCTGTCTTAGAAAGCCCAGGAGCCAGGGCAGTGTGGGAGGCCTAGGAGCCCCCGGGAAGTGGTGGGTACAGCTGGACCCTGGACCTCGGACCCCAGCTGAGGGCGCCCTGGGACGCGGGCAGTGGCCACGTCCCCTGAGGCCCCGGGCTGTGTCCGGCAGGTCTCACCTTGGGTTTAGAGCAACCGGCAACCTGGCCTGGGGCTCCCCGCTTTCTCCCAGGAAGGGAAGTGTGGGGAGCGTAGGAGGCAGCCACATCCCCGGGAAAGAAAGGGCAGTGCCCTACCCGTTCACACCCCGGGAGCCTTTCCCCACTGCCGTGGAGCGCGGTGACTCCCCCGGCCGGGGTGCCCCTACCTGCTCTGCTCTGCCCCACTCCGGAAAGACCAGGGACGTGGGAGAAAATGTAAACCCAGATGTGGTTTCTGCACGGAGGCTCAGAGCCTGGGTTTGCCCTGAAGCCCTTGCCCTGTGGGGGTCCACCCCACCCTCACCCCCAGGAGTGACAGGCAGGGCAGGTGAGGGCAGGTGGGAGGGTGAAGGCCAGTCCCCCAGCCGCTCACCTGCAGAAACTTCTGCCGAGGAGCTGGGAGCGCCCCCCCGCACCAGACCCTCCCTTTTGGCCTTCCACCTCTTCTCTGCCCTGCGGAGGTCCTGGAAACACAGGGGCAGAGCAGGAAGCCCCCGGTTTGGGGAGCTGATTGCGGAACCAGACATTGACCTGCAGCCTGGGGTCTGGGCGCTGAGTCTGCCTGGTCCAGGTGCAGAATGAACAGGGCGGGAGGAGTGACAGGGCCGCTCTGGGCATCACCTGTCCCTCAGAGCACTGCTCTCCCTGCCCACACTGGCGTGGCCCTTAGAGGAAGCGGCCCAGGAAGCCACACCCTGTGGAGGCTCGGCCTCTTGCCGCCGTCCACTCCCGTCTTGCCCTGCATGGCAGTGTCTGAGCTCTGGGACCCGACACCTGGTACAAGACGGAGTCGGGGCAGGAGCCTAAACCTAACCACTGCCCTGGGAGGCCAGGGCCCAGGGACACAGAGGCCCCAGCACAGGAGGGGCGTGCAGTGCGCGGGCCTGGATCCCCCAAGCCCCCACCCACCGCGCCTCCACCTCCGGTGAGTTTCTTGCCTCGGTTTCCTCATCTGGAAGCTGGCATTGAAGCAGCACCCATGAGTATCTCCCCCAGAGGATGGGAGACGCACGTCCACGCAGGGCCCGGAGACGCACGTCTGCGCAGGGCCCGGACCATGAATGTTCTCAGCATCTCTGTTACCATAGCTGAAATGTGGAGGCCTCCAGCAGGAGGTGGCTGAGCAAACCGTCCTGCTACAGCTCGGAACGCAAATCCGCCCCACAGAGACGCCGCACACTCTGCCCTTTCTCAGCTCTTTAATCAGACAGAGACGCAGGGAGGCCCTGCCCTCCCTTCCCCGGCACCTTCCCCACCCCGGCATCAGGGAGTCCTGGGTGCTGAGGAGCCAGAGAAGCCGGGCTCAAGCTGGTGGCCTGCAGCAGCGGCCGAAGCGGAGATCGCTGGGAGAAAGAAGGTCCCGGTCCCTCCTCAGCGGACCCAGATGGGAGCCCAGCCCGGCCTGCTCAGGGCAATTCACCGACTTGCTGCAGGATCCAGGGCACGTAGGTCTGGACACGGGCGTAGACGCCGGGAAAGTCCCGCAGGGCACAGCCGTAGCCCCAGCTGACTACCCCCACCAGGCGCCAGGACCTTCGCACCCTGCAGACCAGAGGGCCGCCGGAGTCGCCCTGAGGAAGGGAGGAAAGGGGTCACCACTGATCTCTGCGACGGGAGCAGGGTAGGTAGGCAGGGCAGGCCTGGGGCACTCACGTAGCAGGAGTCACGGCCCTCGCTGCCGGCACACAGCATGTCATCCAGGATGAGCTGCTGGTCGCCAGTATGCCCGGAGGCATTGCGGTACCGCTGGTCACAGACGGCGTTCTCCAGCACCTGCACACTCACCTGCTGCAGGCGGTAGGGCGGCGGCAGCGACTCTAGGGGGAGAGGTGACCTGGGCTGGCACAGCGGAGACGCCCCTGCCATCCACCCAGCAGCCCCAGTGCCTCCCCTGGGTGGGAGGGAAGGTGGCTCCCCTGCTGCGAAAGGCCCCTCGTCCCTGGGTCTCAGGCTCCCAGCCTGAGCATGGTGTGTGGGACCCCAGGAGGTGTGAGGGCTCATGTCTCCCTCCAAACTCCCAGGGCTCACAGTTGGACGGACCAGAGAAAAGTGGAGGGATGAGTTTTTCTGTTTTGTTTTTTTTTCCCCCTCCAAAAAATGCCTTTTGGTTTTGAGGTGTTTTCATTTGTGATGGGTTCTTCTTCTTCTTTTTTTTTTTTTTCCTTTTTAGAGATGGGGTCTTGCTATGTTGGCCAGGCTGGCCTCAAACTCCTGGGCTCAAGCAATCCTCCTGCCTCTGCCTCCCAAAGTGCTGGGATTACAGGCATGAGCCACCAAGACCCCCCCCCAAAAAAAAAGAGTAAAAGCCTTTCTTAAGTAGAAAAAAATGGGAAGTATTTTCCCCTCTGAATATTGAGTCTGGGGCTTGGTCTGGCCATCGGCAGTCACGGGACCCCCGAGTCTCTGGGCCCGGGCAGCACAGAGCTGTAGGTAAAGCAGCCGGAGGTGCTAGCACAGCCATGAGCAGCTCCGTCTCTTCCCTTTCTGGAACTCATCCCCCCGCCCCCGGCCCCGCCCCCCCAGAGCCCTGGAATGAGGCGTTTTGGGCCCACAGCCTGAGTCCTTCCCCAGCCCCCACACAACACGCACCGAACATCTTGATCGCGCCCCAGCCGGTCACCCAGCACTTGTCCCTCGGGGTGAGCTCCAGCGAGACCGGGGAGAGCTTGACCGTCCTGATGTCAGCGGCACAGATTACGGGGTTCGCCAGCTGAAGCAGGGCCACGTCTGCACCCAGCCCCGCGGTGACGTAGTTGGGGTGGACGATGATCCGGCTGACGTTCAGCAGACCCCGGCCCCCGTACAGATACACGTCCCCGGCGTGGATCCGGTAGGTGGACGGGTCGGTGTCCTTCCTGCCGGAGGACAGACCGGGCTGCTCAGGGGGCCTGGTCTGCGGCGGCCCCACTCCCACCTCCCCTCGCTGGGGTTCCCGGCCCGGGACTCACTGGAAAATGCAGTGGGCGGCGGTCAGCACCCACTGGGGGTGGATGAGGGAGCCCCCGCAGATGTGCACCCAGGAGGCCCAGTGGTAGCTGTAGATCCTCAGGCTGACCTGCCACGGCCACTTCCCCTGGGGGGCGTTGTGGCCCCCCACGATGCCCACCAGGTCATTCTCGGGAACGGGCACTGGGAGCACCAGGAGGGGGTCAGGGAACCCAGCCTCTGCCACCCAAGCCTCACCCCACACCTGCCCTCGGGCAGAAGCCGGTCTGTGCACGTGTGCCCTGGATCCTGGGGACAGGGGTGGCAGAGCCCCTGGGAAGGGAGGGCTGTGTGGGGTCGGGGCTCACCTGGGCTCCCCACGCTGCAGCTCCCCAGGGAGGAGACGGCCAGGAACAGCAGCAGCAGCATCTGCGGGGAGAGTGCGTGGGGTGTGGGCTGGGGGCTCAGACCCAGGGTCAGGGGTGGAGGGTGTGGGCTGGGGGCTGCGGACTCAGACCTGGGGTCAGGGGTGGAGGGTGTGGGGTGCAGGGGCTGGGGGCTCAGACTTCCGGAGCCAACGTCAGGGTGGAGGTGTGGGGTGCAGGGACTGGGGGCTCGGAGCCCAGGGTCAGGGGTGGGGGATTGTGGGGGGTGCAGGGGCTACAGGGCTCAGACCGGGATCAGAGGCGTGGGGGGTGGGCTGGGAGGGCTCCAGACCCCGAGGTGGGGAAGAGGAGGGTGTGGGCTGAGGAGCTGGGGACTCAGGCTGCCACTTGAGGTCAGGGTAAGGAGGGGGTGTGTGGGGTGCAGGGGCTGGGGGCTCCCGGAGCCGGCGTCAGGGGGATGGGGGCCAGGAGAGGAGCACGCCTGCAGGCATCAGGGAGGATGGTGCCCTTGCAAATGCGGGCATGCTCTCAGCAGCTCTCCCGGAGGGTGTGGGGTGCAGGGGCTGGGGGCTCAGACCCGGCGTCAGGGATGGGGGCCAGGAGCCGCCTGCAGGCATCAGGGAGGGGATGGTGCCCTTACCGTGCGGGCACTCAGCAGCTCTCTCCCCGGCAGGCACTCGGCAGCTCTCTCCCCCAGCCCCTCGGAGCCCCTTTATCCTCAACCGCAGGAAGTGGGCAGCTGCCTGGTCAGTCCTGTCCTCAGAGGAGGGGCAGTGGGGGAGTGGCCTCTCGTTCAGCCACTGGGTCGCTGTTCCCACGGCATCGCCAGCCAGAGTAGAGCCAGCAGGGTTAGGGGAGAGAAGGGTGTCTCAGCTGCGACTGCAGAAGCACCAGCAGGTTCCCGGAATGCGGGCGAGGCAGGTCAAATGGCGTCCCCACCTTAAGCCGCCCCCGGCGATGCTCAGAGTCAGGCGGCCAAGATTCCTCAATGCCCAGGGCAGGTGGTGACAATGTTGACAACGTGGGCAGAGTTCCTGCCCCGGGGCTGCACGGTGGGCTCCCAGCTTCCAGAACCACTGCCCACAGGCAGATCAGTGCACAGAGACCAAAAGCAGTGGGGCTTCACCAAGGCCTGGGCCCATGACCTGAGGCCAAATCATCACTGCACAGGTGGAAACAGGGCCCAGAGGAGCCAAGTGCTGGCCATGGAACCCAGCACCCGGGGCCCCATGGCCAACCCCAGGCTCTGTCATCCCAGGTCCACGCAGCGGCCCAACCCTGGGCCTAGCTCTTCTCCGCTGGTGGCCAGGGCAGACAGTTCTCTTCCTCACAGAGACACCTGTGACACTGGCCCATTGGGACGTCCTGGCAGGTGCAGTGTGGACATCACTGCCGGGGGCTCGAGGGGCCCCTCCCCAGACTCCACCCAGGGCTCCATAATGGAATTCGCCCCAACTCTGGGTAGGCCGAGCAGCTCAGCCAGAGGTAGCAGAGTCTCCTTCTCCTGGCTGGAGCCCCCAGCTCGCCACCAGCCCCACCCTCCGTCCCCTTCCTCATCCACCAGGAACAGCCTCTCCTTGGTGACTCAGGAAAGCACCTCTAACCCCAGCTCAGGCCCCTGCCCACTGAGCTCCCAGCTCTGAGTGGCCTCTGGGTGGCTGGTGATGCCAGTGGTGACAGTGACTGAGTCCTCGGGGCTGGCTGTGCCTTGGGAACCACTAGGAAGGTGGCTGGGGAGACAGCACACCCAGGCCTGGAGCCGCCTCCAGCCAGGGAGTGGGGGGCAGGCCCTGAGCTCTGCTTCAGGGATCCCAAGCCAGGCTGTCCTGTCTGTCCTCAGCCCTGCCTGTCCAGGGGGCCTGGGCAGATGGCATTGGAGTGGACAGAGGGAGCCAGAGGGCCCGGAGCGGGGCATGGGATAGCCAGGGCGCTTGGCTCTGGGGCAGCCCACTCTGGGCGTGGCGGAGTGTCGGTGGGTGGAGTGGCCAGGAGCTGCTGGGATTTAGGACTGGGAGTCTGAACCCGGGAGGCTTTGGGACAACCCAGGCAGGGCCGAGCCCCATGGCCAATCAGAGAACGCTTTGCTTCCCAGGCCTGGGAAGAGCCAGGAGGCACCTGGAGAAACAGCCCAGGAGAGACCTGGAGGGAGGGCAAGATGTCCCAGCCTCTTCCGCCAGGGCGAGCAGGCAGCGGCCCTCGGGTGAGAAGGAGAATGGAGACGGCAAGGCTGACGTCCTCATGCCCCCACCTCGGCTTGGAGCTCACTCCTGGGAAGGCCGCCACGGCACAGCGAGGGACACAGGGGCGGGACGAGGGCCAGCTCTTGAAACACCCTGTGTCCTACTTTCTGTGCTGACCACGGAGGTGCGGGCCCATCCCTCACAGATGGTCCTGGCTGCGGCTGTTGGGCAATGGCACCTGGGAACACGATACCTGTTTGTCCTGATAGGGTCGGGACCAGACCACCATGAGAGCGTTTGGTGATAGGATCAGAGGAAGGACTGGGGGCCGTGCAACCGTTAAGACTGGGGTCAGAGGCCCTGGCCAATGATAGGGTCAAGTTCAGGCCTGCGGCCAGGGCGCCCGAGCCCAGGGACATCATTAGGCAAAGGATGTGGTTGCTTCAGGCCAGTGTTGCAAAAGGGTTGGGCTGAAGAAAAGACCAGGCAGAGGGTCCCAGCTCAGGGGCCCAGGGGCCTCAGAACAGAGTGTGCAGCGCCCGAGGTCACTGGGACCTGGGAGATGAAGGGCTCATGACCACGATTCTTCCATGTCCCACGGTCACTCAGCCTTTGTGTACAAATGGAACCCTGGTGTCCATCAGTCTGGCTTCCCTGGTGTGGAGTCAGCTCTCACAGACCTGCAACGCCCTGTACACCGGGTGCCCTCTGCTCACACTGGGCACCCCTTTGTGACGAGGCCGCTGAGCTGCACTTCCCGGGTTGGGAGACCGTTTCCCAAAGGCGTTTTAATGGAGCCATTTAGTTTGTGATGAGCTTAAAACCCGCATTGATATGACTTGAAAAACCAGAAAACATTATCTTCTTCCAATGTGAAATAGTTTTTAAGGTAAAAGACCCAGGCCAAAATACGTTTTTGAAGTAGAAGTTCTGCATAATTCTAAACCTTGCAGTCCCCGCTCTCGCCGTCCGCTGTCACTTCCCCGGCGTACACACGTGTGTTCACAAGAGACAGCTGTGCGGTGACGGTGCTGTGAACACTTCCCTCCCTGCTAAGGACCTTCAGGAGAAACGTCGTGCTTAATGGCATGTCGTACCCGGCTGTATGAATTTAGGGAAACTTATTTCACCCGTTCTCCATGGACATTTAGGCAGTTTCCAACAATTTGCTGTTATAAACAATAATGGGAGGGGCCGGGTGCGGTGGCTCACGCCTGTAGTCCCAGCACTTTGGGAGGTCCAGGTGGGCAGATCACAAGGCCAGGAGTTCAAGACCAGCCTGGCCAACAGAGCAAAATCCCATCTCTAACAAAAGTGCAAAAAAAAAAATTAAACAAGTGTGGTGGCACACACCGGTCATCCCAGCTACTCGGGAGACAGAGGCAGAAGAATTGCTTGAACCCAGGAGACAGAAGTTGCAGTAAGCCCAGATCGCACCACTGCACTCCAGCCCGGGCAACAAAGCGAGACTCTGTCTCAAAATAATAATAATATGAATGTTCTTGCATGTACAGAAGATGTATGCTTGTCCCAGTTAATTACGCACAGTGCATAATGCTCAGTCAGGTGTGTCTGAGTCCAAAATGATACCCAAACTGAGATCACTGAGCCATTGAGATCCATCCACTTACCCATCCGCCCATCAATCCACCCACTCACCCATCCAGCCATCCACTTACCATCTATCCGCCAACTCACCCATCCATTCACCCACCTTCCTAACCACACACCCACTCACCCATCCACCCATCCATCCACTCAACCATGCGCCCATCCATCCACTTACCCATCCAGCCGTCCACTCATCCATCCATTCACCAACTCACCCATCTGTTCATCCATCCTCTCAACCACACACACAATCACCCATCCACCCATCTACCCACCCATCCATCCACTCACTCACCAATCCACCCACTCACTCATCCATTCACCCATCCACACATTCATTCACTCACCCACTCATCCATCTTTTTTTTTTTTTTTTTTTTGGAGACAGAGTCTCACTCTGTGTCCCAGGCTGGAGTGCAGTGGTGCGATCTTGGCTCACTGCAACCTCCACCTCCCGGGTTCAAGCGATCCTCATCCCTCAGCCTCCCAAGTAGCTGGGACCACAGGTGTGTGCCACCATGCCCGGCAAATTTTTGTAATTTTAGTAGAGTCGAGGTTTCACCATGTTGGCCAGACTGATCTCGAACTCCTAACCTCAAGTGATCTGCCCACCTTGGCCTCCCAAAGTGCTGAGATTCCAGGCATGAGCCACCGCACCCGGCCTCCATCCATCTATTCTTCTATCCCTCGATCCACCCACCCATCCATCCATTCTCCGATCTTCCCATCCCTCCCTCTCTCCTCCAACTAGTCACTCATTATGACTTATTCACATACTTCACCGTCTATTCCAATTATCTGGACGAGACACGCCACCCCAGCCTTTCCCAGTTGTGCTTCTCTTGGGGTGAGTTGAGGGGAGAGGTGTGGGTCCAGAGCTGGGGGAGGACTTCTCCAAGTGTGTGCAGGCCAGCCTTGCTCAGCCCCGTCCTACCCAAATTCCCCGGGGACAGAGCTGGGGGCTGGTGATTTAGAAGGATGAACCCCACCCAGTAGCAGAGTCTGAAATGGTTAAATTTCTTTCCTCACAGTGAAAATAACTTTATTGTTCCCTTTATGTGCACAGTGCACGTTTGCTATCACTGCTCTAACGATGCAGTGAGATGCAAGAGTGTCCAGGCTTCTCCCGCAGGTGCAAGCGGTTTTTCCAACTGGTACCGCCCTCTGTCCAGCCTGTAGGCTCATCCTTGCAACCAAGCCGCACCTGATGCCTCCGGGGACCACTCAGGCTTCCCTTCCCGGCTAAACCTGACACCCAGGGGAGCGGCCTCTTGTTCTCCTGTGGACTCTTCTGTCTATGACACGACCTTCTGCTGCATTTCAAATCCCCGTCACACACCCACCACCCACCTTTTGTCCACCTGAGATCGAGGTAGGACAAGGTTATTCCCCTATAGCCCAGGACATGCCACCTAGTGACATCGGTAGAACGAATGAATAAATGAATGGCATGAATGAATGAGATCTTGAAAATGACTCTGAATTGTGGGTGAACCTGCCAACACCCTTGCTTTGTGACGGGGTACACGGCATGTAAAACGCAATAGGGGTGAGGTGCAGTGGCCTGTAATCCCAGCACTTTGGGAGGCCGAGGTGGGTGAATCACCTGAGGTCAGGTGTTGGAGACCAGCCTGGCCAACATGGTGAAACCCCGTCTCTACTAAAAATACAAAAATGGGCCGGGCGCGGTGGCTCACGCCTGTAATCCCAGCACTTTGGGAGGCCGAGATGGGCGGATCACGAGGTCAGGAGATCGAGACCATCCTGACTAACACGGTGAAACCCCGTCTCTACTAAAAATACAAAAATTAGCCGGGCGCGGTGGCGGGCGTCTGTAGTCCCAGCCACACGGGAGGCTGAGGCAGGAGAATGGCGTGAACCCGGGAGGCGGAGCTTGCAGTGAGTGGAGATTGCGCCACCGCACTCCAGCCTGGGCGACAGAGCGAGACTCCGTCTCAAAAAAAAAAAAAAAAAAAAAACAAAAATGAGCCAGGTGTGGTGTTGGGTGCCTGTTATCCCAGTTACTCAGGAGGCGCTGCACTCCAGCCTGGGCGACAGAGCGAGACTCCATAAAACAACAACAAAAAACCACAATAGGGAGTGATGGCCCCAAGGTTGGAGGAGAGGCTCTGAGCCTCTCACTCACCCGAACTCCACCTGCCCAAGCCAGGCCTGCTCCGTTCCCCCAGCACTGAGGGATTCCAAACGGGAGAGCTGGACCACCCACTCTGCAGCCCCAAAGACCACTCTGACCGCCAGCCCATTGACTCAGACAGTTGTTTAATGAGATGATCACAGCCGCATGGCACCCCGGCTCCACAGGGGCCTCCGCCCTCCTCTCGGGACTGGCGGGGAAGGAGAGGGGAGGAAGAGGGGGATGGGAGCGGGGCTGAAGCACGGGGAAGTGGGCGGGAGGTGTGGGTGGAGGGGATCAGAAAGCCCCACCAGGGAAAGTCGGGACAAAGCTTCCGCCTCCTCCAAGGATCCTCGGGCCCACCCGGGGCTCACCCACACTTCCTGATTTCCCGGCGGATCCAGGCGACATGGCTCTGGACGCTTGTGAAGACGGCCGGCAGCTGGATCGTGGAGCAGCCTATCCCCCAGCTGACCACGCCCACCTGGACCCAGGAGCCTCCCTTCCTGCAGACCAGGGGCCCTCCGGAGTCCCCCTGCAGGGAGAGGGGACAGTCACACGTCTCGCCAGGGGCCTTGGCACAACGGGACTCCTTGTCCAGCCTCGAGAGGCCCAGACCAGGAGGAGCCCCCTGGGGCAAGGCAGAACCCACACATCTTACCATGCAGGGGCCACGGCCCAGGCTGCCGGCACACAGCATGTCTTCCGGGATGACCGTCCTGTCGGCACTGGCGTGCAGATACTCCCTGTAGCCCTCCTCACAGGCCTCATGGTCTTCCAGTGGGATGTGCACCTGCTGCAGGCGGTAGGGTGGGTGTAGTGGCGCTGGGGGTGGAGGAGGGGAGTCAGGAAGCAGCAGGGGGCTGTGTCCCCGACACGTTGGATTCGTTCACACCCGCCACAGCCAAGGCGGCCACGGGGAGGGGTCCCAAACTGCCTGTGACGCCTGGGCCTGGGGCTCTGGTCCTGCTCTTGTCACTCCGACCTGGAGCCAGCCTGAGCCTCAGTTTCCCCATCTGTCCTGGGTAGGAGTGTGACCTCAGCCCATGCCGTGATAGACGGGCTCAGATTCCGCAGACAGACCCGTCCCTCCAAAGCTTCAGGATGGGGTCTTATTTACAAATAGATTCTTGGCAGATTGATTAAGGTGGGATGAGGCCATGCTGGGTTAGGAACGGCCCTAATTCCAAGACAGGTGCCCTAATAGAGGCAGAACAGGAGCGGCCCCAGCCCAGAGGAGAAGGTGACATGGAGACCCAGGCGGAGATGGGAGCCATGTGGTCATGAGCCCCGGGACACCAGGGCCACCAGAGGCTGGGAGAGGCCAGGAGGGGCCCTCCCCTAGAATCGGAGCGGGAGCAGGGCCCTGCCCACACCTGGACCTCGGGAGAACACATCTCCGTGGTGTGAAGTACCCAGGGTGTGTGTCTTGTCATAGCCCCAGGACACACACACGGGGGGCACCCGGGGGCCTGCAGCCCAAAGGTCCCAGAACACAGGAAGAAGCGTGACTTCCCCCATCAAAAAACATAACCAGATTCTTCCTCCCACCCCCACCCCAAAAACCCGCACACAGCAGAGTGTGAGGGCAGCAGGCTGCGGACCCGGGGACTTGAACCGATTCCATCCCCGCCGCTGGCAGACCCGGAGAGCTGTCAAACGCCCTTTACCGTCTTTAATCTAAAATGAATATCAGAGCATCAGGGCGGCCACGGGGGGCTGAGAGGCCGCACCGGGGGGACAGCTGGGAGCTGCAGGACGCTGCTTTCCTTCCCCGTCCCATTTATTTCCGAGCTTGTGAACCAGCCCCCGAGGGACCAGCCTCCAGGAATGGGCATGGAGGGGAAAACTGGGGAACTTCCCCACGCTCCTCCAGGACCCTCGCCCCCCAGCCCTTCTCACCGTAGTAGGACGTCCTGCCCCAGCCGGTCAGCCAGCACTCGTCCTCCGGGGTGAAGTTCAGGGCCTCGGGCGGCAGGGTGACCGGCTGAACGTTGCTTGCTGCGCCCACGCGGGTGGCCAGCCGCAGCAAGGCCAGGTCGAATCCGAGGTGGGCAGCGACGTAGCTGGGGTGGACGATGATCCGGC